CTAGTAAAACAGCTCAGGTGTTTCCCAGACATAAAAGCTGAGAAATAACGTAGCAGGGGAAGAAAAGGAAAAAGTATGAGTCGGTTTTACTTTTTTTTTCCCCCGACCACCCCATATCCAGACAAAGCCAGAGACACTGATTTCACAGCTTGCAAAGACTGTGGCCATTTCCACACACGTTGCACCCTCCCTCCTTCCCAGTCTCCCGGCGCGCGTAGTGCTGGCGAAGCGCCCGCTGAAGAGCTGCTCTGTGCAAACACCTTTTGCCCTCCGTCTCCTGCAGAGCGACATAATATCGATACCTGGCAGGACAGGCGGGCTCGGAGGAGGGAGGACTTTCCCGTTCCTATCCGGGGCACCAGGGAAACGGTTTCCGACTCTTCTGCTGAAATCATCCTGTGCCTCCTCCATCCTCTTGCAAAGTCAGCGAGGTGGTGCGTGGAGGTCCCTGGTGCGCGGAGGTCTCTGGAGCCGCTGGGCTGAGCTCTGAGGCTGGTTTGGGTGCCCCAACACGCCAGGCAGCTCTGAGCTCTGCCTCGGTCCCCGCTGGTACTGCTTCCCACGCCCGAGCTACCCCAGGAGCTCAGGGCTAAGAGCTGCTTCTAGGTGTGGAAGCTTAAAAAAACCCAACAATTCAATCAACTCTGCCCACCCATCTAAGCAAACGCAGCATCTTGGGTTTGTCCTCAACCCCACAGCCTGGGAGTTGTTGTTGACTTACTTGCCTACCTTAAAAGACGCTTTCCAAGCAAAAGGGGACACCCGAGGGGAAGCACAGCTTGGTCTCACCAGGTCCCATGTCCCAGCGAGCCCAGTGGGCCAGGGCCAGGCTCAGAGGTCCCCGGTGACCGCTTGGGGCACGTTGGTATAACCAGCCGTCCAAAAAAACACCCCAGCAAGAGGTCTGCATGCTATGCTGTGTGCCCTCACCTCCCCCCCATTAGTGTTTTATGCACCCAAAAGCAGAAAGGAACTAAAGTTCTCGAGGACAAAACTTGCAGCAGCTCCCTCCAGAAGCCAGGACTCGGTCAGTCCTTCGTAGGGCCACCTTTGGGTGCAAACGAAACCAAAGGTCTGGGGTGGGCGGAGGGACAGGAAGATGAACACAACCTTTCCGCACCTGCAGTAGAGGCACCGCCCAAAGGAAGCAGCAATCCCTGCATCTGCACAAACCCCCCCTGCCAACTAGTTATGGAAAAACAAAACAAAACAAACAAAAAAAAAACCAAGAGGAATAAATCGCTGAGAAAAATCTACCTTTTTGGCTTACTGCAAATTTTAGAAGAAACTAATTTTCACAAAACGCATTTCTGCATCCCCGGGTGCCCAAATTGGTGGCTCGGCTCAGGTGGCATGGTATCTAGCTGACTGCGGGTATGAGGGACTTCTCTGGCACTGCTTTGCCCAGCAGTGGCTCCGCAGCGGTGGAAATGACTACCAGACTGGAATCGTAGTAGCTTCCCTTGCACTTGCACTGGTGCGCAATGACTGTAAAAGATGAACAGCAGCTGACCTGGATCCCTAAAAATGTAGAGAAGCAACATCTGCCCCCAGAAATCAAGAGAATTGCTCTCCACAAGGAAACCTGAATCTAGAGGAGACCTTTTTTGTTTTGTTTTGGTTTGGTTTTTTTTGCCTTTTTGCCTTCGGTGCATCTTCCGTCCCTGCGCAGCTTTCTTTCAAGTAGAGACTCCAGCTACCGGGTCGCTGGAAACGGCCCAACTCTGCAAAATGCTGAACCTGAACAAATCCCAACGGCTCCTGGAAAATGACGCCAAACCTAGCAAGAAAGAATTGCTGAGGCAGGTATTTCACTCCGCCGGCCCGACTGCGTTGGGCTCCGCGCCGGGGCGGTGGGAGGTGCTGAGCACCTCAGCGCCGGGCCTGCGCTTGCAGCATCCAGCCCCAAAAGAGGAGCTTTACGGACCTCTCCTCTGCTCCTCTATGAATATTGCTGCTGGGCACGGCTCCCCCCCACCCACCCAAACAATGACCCCCCAGTAGCAAAAAATAAATAAAAGAAAAAGTCAGGCTTCATACATATTCTGGATGGATATTTATTTGCTTAACAGATTTTCTTTTTTTTTTTTTTTTCATTTTTCTTTTTTTGGTACAAAGCATCCAGGAAAGCTTTTACTTCTCTTTTTAAAAAATAAAAACTAGGTTTCTTTTAAAAAAAGACACATGAAAAGGAAAAAAAAAAAAGTCAATTATTTG